TCACGATACAGTTACAGTTAGAGGTAAGTTAAATATTAACTGGAAAGATTCAAGATCATGACAAGGTCTGGGTGAATTGCAAAGGCAAGTGACAGAGGTTGATAATTTGACAGGGAGGTGTCAAAGGAGCCTCCTGATCCAACAGACTCCTGAGGATGACACAAAGCATTTCTCTCAGTGGGTTCACTAGCAGTGGAGTGATTGTGTGTGAGGGGGGGGCTGAGGGTGTGTGTGGAATCACTGACCATTCACGATTACTCTAGTCTGGTAGCATATACAGGTAGCTCTGCAGAACGACACAATGCTTCAATGCTTTCTGTCAATAAACATTGACTTAAAATTCCTTTTCTTTTGCAAATTTTCTGGTAATCCTTCTAAACAGGGGACACCTCTCAGTTTTGATGTCGCTCTCCAATATGTCTTTTTGGGAAAAAAAAATTACGTTGGTACAGTTTCACAATAGTGTTGCTGTTCGAAGCATTTGTGGAGATGTCAGAGCTGTATAGAAACAAGTCCATTTTCAGGACCAGATTCACCATCAGATTGATTTCTGCCTCTTCACAACAGCCAAATCTATACCTTGGAGCTGTATGGGTTAAACTGCAATTATCACTATTCACACTATTATACACACACACACACAAAGCAGTGATTACTTGTAGCAATGGGCTGGCAGATCGATGGGGTAGTTAAGGAAACATACATAAACAATTAAGCATTTTGGTGAGGAGATGCTATCAGTGACATTTGACCGGAAGGACTCGGCTTTAATTAAAACAGGAAATGGGACTACAGTCTACGGCAGTGTCTTAGAGCAACCATTTAGAACTGGGTTGGCTCAGTTTACAGCACTTGACCTTTCCAGAAGGGTCTTCTTCCCCAATAGACTAGCATTTTTCACCAGACGGACTTAGCCTTGCAGCAGGATTAAACTGGGGAATAATGTCAAGCAGAGTTCTGCTGAACAAACTTTATTCTGACATGAAGGAAAGAGAAAATGAGGAAGAACATGAGGGGGGCGAGAGACAGAATGGGAGAATAGAATAGAATCCCTACAGTGTAGAAACAGGCCCTTCAGCCCAACAAGTCTACACCAAACCTCAGAGCACCCCACCCAGAACCATCCCTGTAACCCACCTAATCTACACATCCCTGAGCACTCTGGGCAATTTAGCATGGCCAATCCACCTAGCCTGCACATCTTTGAACTGTGGGAGGAAACCCATGCAGACACGGGAGAATGTGCAAACTCCACACAGTCGCCGGAGGGTGGAATCGAACCCAGGTTGCTGACACTGAGGCAGCAGTGCTAACCACTGAGCCACCGTGCCGCCCTGTTTTCAGTGTATAATTGTAAGCACTGAAGAATATAAACAAAGGTCATTTAGTTCTTAAGAACATGTCTTGCCATTCAATAACAACATGGCACAACCTAACTCCTTACACCTTTTATCCCATATCCCTCAATAACTTTTGAAAACAAAAAATTCACTCATTTCATTTTTAAAATTAATAATTTCAGTTAGAGCATTTATAATATTCTCAACTTGGCAATTTATTATGCTTCAATGTTGCTATTTTTAATTACTGTTCCCTTACTGACCTTAAATTTTGTTGAGTTTCGAATGAGAAAGATGAGATAACAAGGAGTGAGGGGGAAAAGCACTGCACATCAGTGAAAGCTGAAAACCAAAGCTCGAAAAAATATTCGTCTAAATTTAAGTAATGACTTGCCCTGGAGTTTGACAGTGATGCTTTACAAATAAGAATCAAGAGAAAACAGCTTATGAAACGCTGAAAATGTGAAACACCTGGAAGGGTAAATAAAGTAGAACTGTTGAGGTTTATTTTAGAATTTAAACACCAGTACAAAGCAATTATGCTGAATTGTCTGTTTCGATGCTGTAAATTCAATGCACGTGTTTGTAGTCTAAAGGGTTAATGTGAGAATGTAAATCAGAGATTACATCATTGGAAATGGATGCATGATCACATGACTGCTACGCCTCTCTCTAGTAACCTGGCAGCAAAGGTGATGTTTTAATCAATAAACAATTATTGACTATGCTTAAAAAAAGGGCCAATTTTTTGACCCTAAAGACTCCTGCAATATTTAGTAACCTTTCCCCTGGGACTCAACCATATGGCATAGTGTTTGACTACAGCACCTAGTTTTACATTAACCTATTCTGAGTCGATAAATAAACATTGCCTGGTCTTTCCAAACACAGCAAGGATCCAGTGTGAAATGACTTGTACTCAATTAGGAATTAAGGTCACACATAGAGATAGTCTCAGATGTTGAAGATGTGGTGCAGTGTGTTGGGTAGAGGTTAGGAGATTTACTCTAACCTAGGAACGTTGGATTACATAATGGGAGAACAAACTGATGCCACGAACAGCCTTAAAGATTAACAGTTTAGTGGTCACCCAGGTATAGAAAAACGGGTTGAAACCCTAGAATTAGTTAGATAACAATTGGACATTGTGTCTGAATGAATTAAAGATTCTTCCACATTCATCACAAGGTGTCCCATTCCCCACTGCTTACATGTTTCATACTGGTCAGACAAATATTCCTCAACTCTGCCTCAATTCCTCATAATTTCACACCAATGACCCAGCAGCAACTTAAAATGCTTTTCTGGCTGAATTTTTAAAAAAGCACAGTATGATTGAGATTGCAATCTAAGCCATTTGGAAAAGCATGAATATTTAAAGTCTCACAAGAAGAGGAGCTAAACTCCAGACAGGCTGTGTGCACACTGAATAATAACAAGGTTTAAACCAAGTACTTCAGAAGGTTAAATCCCCATCGTATAAGTAATCACTGTGCACCTTGCCTGTTAACAAAAGATCTTCTGTTGAATCAAGTAATTCAAATATACAGAACACAGACTGAATGTTTCTGTTGAAACTGTCAATCTATCAAATTTATGATTTCCAGAATCAATATTCTTCATGATTTGGAATGATAGACTCCCTTTGCAGTCAAGGGAGACAGAAAAAAATTTTCAATTGGAAACATTACTAGCCAATTGTATGCCATGAATTAACAGATATTTTGACCATCATGATCACGCCCAAGCATTGATCATTTCAGTGTCCGGAATAACATTTTGTGGGCATACCATCCATTAATGAAAAATCTGGGAAGGTCAGGGCAATATCAAAATTGACCTGCACACACATTAATGTGCAATTGATCTATGGTCCTGCAAGGAGTCAATGTACAATGATCATATTGATTAATTCAAATGGAAATTGGACCAATTGTACAAGCAATTTGAGATGCAAACGTGTAAGGAATTAACATAGAATCAACGAATCCCGATAGTGTGGGAGCAGGCCATTTGGCCAAATGAGTCCACATCAACCCTACAAACAGCATCCCACTGAGATCCACGCCAACTCTTTAACCCTTTATATCCTATGACTAACCCACCTAACCTGCAAATCCCTGGTCAATATGGACTATTTAGCATGGCCAATCCACCAAACCTGCACATCTTTGGACTGTGGGAGGATTTCAGAGCACTTGGAGGAAACCAATACAGACACCGGGAGGATGTACAAACTCACACAGACAATAATCCAAGACTGGAATCAAATCTGGATTCCTGGCTCTGTGAGGCAGCAGTGTTAACCACTGAGCCACCATGCTGCATGGCTTGAGGAGAAGAGGCAAATTTGGACACTTGGATCTGAAAGCTCTACACGCACTGTAGGCTTTCTTCACCTTGTACCTGGGTCTGCCGGAGACATTGAGATCAGTCAGCAATTTCATTATCCTGTATCACGTGATGACAAGGATGGTAGGGGATGAATTAGGTTACTTCTATACATCGAGCAACTCCTATGTTGATAAACTTGCTGAAAACCTTTTCAACTTATGGTGCCTACCAATAAACAAACAGTAGCTCCCTTGACAGTCCAGTGCTACAGGACAATGATGTACTGGAGGGAGAAGTACACCAGATTGGAATTTCTCCTGTGTTCCCAGCTACATCACACCAGATACTGTATACCATGAGGTGCCAACCAAGGGTGATGATAGTAAAGATGACGAACAGGGCCAATGAGAAAAAAGGGAGACATTTACTAATCTTCTAGCAACTCTCAAAGTAATTGAATAGAGAGGATATGGTGCATGATGACACCCAGTAAACGATCTTAATCTGGAAAAAAAAAATCATGTAAGGGGGGAGAAACAACAAAAGATGCATTTTGTTTATCATTCATTTTATCCAGTCAACACTGGGATTTAAGTCCCAAGTTTGGTCAGAATTTTAAGTAGGTGTACATGAAATAGATATCTTTGCAACTGAGGTAATGACCTTGGAGCAAAGCATTGACACCAGCTTCACAAAACTGGAAATCTCTGAAAACAAATTTTTCTGAAAAATGAGTGTCATTTTCACGATTGCAACCCCAGCTTTCATAAATTAAGACTGTAACTTAAATTGGTATAGGTTGGGATGATAACACAGTACACCATAACGAGACTCAAAGAAGAAATTCAACTATCATAAACAGCTGCAGGTCTATAATTAGATAAATGATATTCATTCACAAAACAATCGTTCCAGTCACAGTATTAATTGATAACCTTTTAGTGTGGATGTCGAATAAAATATTGTATACTCTCAAAATTAAACAGAAGCTGTCTATGTATCCACATTATTCAGTAACAAAAACAGACAGACCAGTCCAGCTGAGAAATATCACTGTAACTTAGGATATATATTGGAAAAATAGTTCTTTCAACTGCATTAATACGTAATAAAGTACAGCAGGAACCCAATGCAAATCTACAAACTGCATTAGTTTTTTTTGCAAAACGAAAGCACTTCGGTTAACTTAGTTAAATTAGAACTGAGACTTGGCCAGCCAAGTAACACTATTGAGAAAACTCTACATTGCAGTTGGCTTCAATCTGGAATTACAAGTTGCAAGTGAAATTACACCATATGAACATTGCTGTAGAAATGCCAAGTGCGTTCATTTTGAAAAGGCTTTGCCAAACTGCTTTAATAGTTGTATTAACCCTCTAATTTAAAATGGGTTACTCCTCTGTTATTATAGGAGGAATTTAATACAAATTGGTTTACATATAAATGCACAAATGGCTGTTCAATATAATTTCAAGACTTTTTCCAAAAAAAATGATGGTATACAAGAGATTCTTCTGAGGCATGTCCAGATTGCTGGAAGCTTTTCTTAAATGAACCATCTTTTCCATTCTCTGCTTTCAAACTATGTATTAAACACAGAGTCCCTGAAAATCAGTGGGAAAATAATATTCTAATTCTCCAACAGATGAATCAGTTTTTTTTATACATGAGAGAAAGGACCCATCCCATTTTATTTTCCATGACAGCAATAGCCTTAAGGTAATGACCACAAGCTTTGACATAAAAGTTTTTGTGATGATGGTCCCTTTTTCCCTGAGCCTTTGCACTGAAGGACAGAGACATACTGGGGCCATTGCAAAACTGCCGCAGTGTCAGGGTGAGTTCAGGAATTCAGCGTGTGATGGGCTGGGTGCAATGATGTGTCGGTGGAAATCAAAGCTCAGGCTTGGAGGACAAGGAAGAAAAATGAAAACTGCAAATCCGAACTAAAAAGCAGTAAATGCAAGAGGAGTGTAGCTTGCTTGGAAAGTTGATGAGTGAAGCCATTAACTTTCAGGTATTCTACAGTTCACCGAGAGTTCAAATCAGCTCAAAAAACAACCTGGCTTTTCTCTCTAAAAAGACAGACATATTGTCATGTTGCTCACAAACAGCCTCCAACATGTTACAAAATTGGGGAAAGTTGAGGTGGATTTTTTGAAGAGCAAACTAAATTATCCAGAAAACCAATTCTCAAAACAAAAAAGGTGGCAACTATGTCCCTCCATTCTTCAACATAGATGTCAAGGGTCAGTCTGCACTGGCAGGTCAAAAGACCTTGGAATAAGTCATCAGTACTGATGGCTCATAAAACACAAAAAGCACATTCTTGTTGTGCTGCTGCCGCTGCAGTTTTGGAGTAGATGTTTTAAACAAAAACAAAGGTACACATTCTTAAATTAGTTATAAGTGTGGAAACTTTCTTATGGATTCACAATTCATTGGACCCAAAGACTGAAGCAAAGAGGAGTTACAGCTTTTGTCTTTTTTCAAACAAACAAGAAGTGCTTTTCTTTCCCGTCAAAACATTGGTTGTTCAATTTTGCAGCAATTTTTCACACAAGTTCTGTAAATACCACAACATAATACAATACTGGTCCAATCACAGATGCTACACCTTCAGTTGGAAATGACAAGTATATCTTTGTAGTTGCAAATTTCTCAGGTAGAGAAGTTTGTAACAAGGTCTACATGGTTGGCGATGAATGTTTACATTCCAACAGGTGACATCAGATGAAAAAAACTTTTTGTCAGTCTGCAGAATTTATTTTGTGATGTTCCAATGAGCTAACTTGCTTCTTACACTTTCATGTTTAAATGAAAACCTGGAATTACCAATAGGTAGGTCAAGGGAATTGGAAATAACTTTACTTTTTATTTGACTATATGAAAAGTGAGAGGGGGTGAGAGGAAGATATCAGAGGTAGGGGAGTGGGTATTACTGTTGAAGGATTTAGGCCACTGGGATAAATGCTACAGCAAAACTTTGAGTAGTCTGGTTACAGTTTTAATACAGCAATAGTAAATAATTCGCCTCCAGGAACTCTGCTAGCACACAAACTCTTGCCGCATCCGAATAATTTGCAACAAGGCAGCTTGTACATCTTCATCCATGTGACCCTGCAAACAAAAGTGAAGAAAATGTTACTTTTTCTTCCCCCCACAATTTCTCAAGTTATTTTCTTAAAGTCAGGAATGGAAGAAAAACAAACAGGTAAGAGGGTGAGCAGATGCATACACAACAAAAAGAGGCCCATTCAGCTCATTGTGTGCATGCCAGCTTTTTGAAAGTGCTAAGCAATTTGCTCCACGCTGCTCCTTCTCCGTAGCCCAGCAAGATTTCATTCCTCTTCAAGCATTTTCCCAATTCCCTTTTGAAAATTACAAATGAATCTGCTTTCAACACCTTCACAGGTACTACATTCCAGATCACAACAATTTACTCTAAAATAAATACTCTATGTTCCCCCTGCTTCTTTGCCCAATTGTTTGAATTCTCTCTCCTCTGGTTAATGATCTATCATATTTACTCTATCAAACCCCTCATAGCTTTGAGCATCTTTACTAAATCTCTCCTTAACTTTGCTGTTCCAAACACAAAATTCCTGCTTCTTATTTTTTCCATATAAAACTGAAGACTTTCTATCCTTGCTATCATAGCAACTGTGCTCTGCATAGCCTTGACATCCTTCTTAAGAACTAGGGCGTGACACAATGCTCCAGCCGAGACTGGATGCAGCAACATATGAAGGTTTGGTTGAACTTTTCAAAATTATCAAGCATACATTGAGACACAAGATAAAGCAGTGACAAGAGACAGAGTTCTTAGTGACGATCATCACTTTGCAGAAAGATGTTTGAATGCCATATCCTATATCTCCATCAATATTCCTTGGCTACATCAGAATCTTTCCCAAGAACGCAACTGCTCATGTGGAGAAACCCAACCCCCTCAGATTGGAGAAAACCACATGGGACCAACAGTGTGAGCAACTGGTAAACTTTTACAACAGTTAAACATTGATGGAATGAGGGTTCTAGAAAACACTGCTCATTGAATAGATTAACAGTTTGCAATTTCATTTATCAACCTTCTTCAAAAAAAAAAGGAACCATATAATTTCACAACAGGTTGCGAATCTTTTTACAAAACTGGAAGAGCTCCAGAAACAAGCTTTAGCAACACAACTTATTTCAGTTCTCTCATCTTAATTATCAGTGATTACTTGCACACAATTTCTCTCGTCTTGGCGGTTATTCAACTTTACCTGTGCAGCGTTGAGCAGGTGTGTTCGATAGATTGAAATGACCTCTCTGTGTTGCCTGTCAGCATCCTACAGAAAAAAGGGTGAAGAGGACACAAAACTGTCACTAAACGTTTTGACTGTATGATCATGACATCAGTGCAGGGCATAAAAATCACCAAATTATCTCACATCTTAAAGGAAGGGAACCTATACCATTCACAAAGGGTTTGAAAACAAAGTCATCTGATGCATGGGTCAGTGTCAGCTGTCTCTCAGTCATAGAATGCTCAATACTGAGTCAAGAGGATTGTGGTTTCAAGTCCAACTCAAGGACATGAGCACCAAACTAAAAGCCTGACAACCTCAGCACTGTACTGGATTGTCAAGGGCAAGCTGGAGTCAAACATCAAAGGATCATGGGCCATCAACCTGGTCATTGCCCCAATCACCATTTGTCCCACCTGGGACAGAGACAGGAGGACATGCATCGGACTCTTGACTCACCAAACAGCTCAACATTCATGAGGAAACAAGTCATCCTCAATTGTGAGGGACTGCTCAAGTCATACTGTGGGAGTGGGGCACCAGAGATGCTCTTTCAGGTGAGTCAGGTCCTGCCTGTCCTTTTGGTGGACACCAACACCCCAAAGCATTATTTCAAATAACAGAGGGAAATATCCCTCATGTCTTGGTCAATATTTATTTACTTTGAGACGGAATGCAGAGGAAAAAAAAACTTAGCCTGAATTAGGTAGAGGAGAAAATGCTGGGGTCCATTATGAAACATGTAATAGCTGAGCCATTGGAAATCAGTGGTGGGATCGGACAGAGTCAGCATGGATTTACAAAAGAGAAATCATGCTTGGCAAAATCTACTGGAATTCTTCAAGGATGTTCATTAATGTCATTTAGAAAGGAAGCTGCATCCCTACCTGATCTGGAGTACATGTGACTCCAGACCCACAGCAATGTGGGTGACTCTTAACTGCCCTCTGGGCAATTAGGGCCAGACAATAAATACTGGTCTAGCCAGTAATGCCCTTGTCCTGCGAATCAAGGGGGAGCCAGTAGATATGGTTCATTTAGACTTTCAGAAGGCTTTCAACAAAATCCCACATAAAAGATTAGCATGTAGAATTAAAGTGCATGAGATTGGGGCAGCATATTGAAATGGATTTTAAAAAAAACTGGTTGGCAGACGGGAAACAGGAATAACTGGGTCTTTTCCAATTGGCAGGCAGTGACTAATGGTGTAGCACATGGATCAGTGCTAGGTCCCAGTTATTCACAATATATGTTAATTATTTAGATGAGGGGACTAAACGTAATCTCTCCAATTTTTCAGATGACACAAAGCAGGGTGGGAGGGTGAGCTCTGACGAGGATGCAGAGATGCTTCAGTGTGACTTGAACAGGTTGAGTGAGTGCGCAAACACCTGGCAAGTGTAGTATAACATGGATAAATGGGAGGTTACTTTAGTAAAACAGGAAGGCAATTTGTTAACTGAAAGACTAAATTGAGAGAGAGATAAATGTTCAACAAGACCTAAGTGTCATCATGCACCAGTCATCGAAGGTAAGTGCGCAGGTGCAGTAGGTGAAGAAGGCAAATGGTATTTTGGTCTTCACAGCAAGAGGGTTCAAGGACATAGAATCGCTACAGTGCAGAAAGCAGCTATTTGGCCCATTGAGTCTGCACTGACCCTCCAAAAAGAGTATTCCACCCAGAGCCACCCACCTCCCCCCATCCTATCTCCTGTAACGCCACATTTAGCATGGCCAATCCACCTAACCCACACATCTTTGGACTCTGGAACTAAACCAGAGCACCTGGCACAAACCCATGCAGACACGAGGAGAAAGTGTAAATTCTACACAGTCAGTGACCCAAGGTTGGAATTGAACCCATGTCCCCAGTGCTATGAGGCAGCAGTGCTTACCCTTGAGCCACCATGCTGCCCTACAGGAGTGGGGATGCCTGGCTGCAATTATACAGGGCCTTAGTGACACCATACCTGGAATGAAAGAAGTTCTTGCTATACAGGGAGTGCAACAAAGTTTTACTAGACTGATTTCCTGGGATGGCAGGACAGACGAGATTGAATCAGTTCAGGTTATATTCACTGGAGTTCAGAGATCAAGGGGGAAATCTCAGAAATCTATAAAATTCTAAACAGGACAAGGGGTAGATGTGGGAAGGATGTTTCCGATGACTAGGAAGTCCAGAACTGGGGTCACAGTCTAAGGGCATGGGATAAACCATTTAGGACTGAGAGGAGGAGAAATTTCTTCATCCTATCACAGACAACAGTTGATGCCAAAACATTGTATGATTTCAAGGAGGAGTTGGATATTGCACTTGGGGCTAAAGGGATCAAAGTATATGGGGGTGGTAACAAGTTGTTACATTGGATTATAAACCATGATCATATTGAATGGCAATGCAAGATCAAAGAGCTGAATGGTATGCTCTTGCTCCCATTTTCTACGTTTCTAGGTTTATCCCTCAATCTACATTACAAAAATAGATCCTTTGTCCACCATTTGACTGTTGTTTGTGGGTTTTTGTTATGCATAACTTCTGTAGGCATCACAAGGCACAGATGCGGCCGTTGACATCCGAACATTCTGGAGTAAATGAAGACAAGTCTGTAATGCAAAGCCCTCATTAGCATCTAGCACAGGTAAAGTTACTGGAGACTGCACAACAGAAGGAACAAAAGTGGTGCTAGCTCAGCTACCACAAGAGGCAGAAACAACTGGGATTGTTTACACTGGAACAAACATGGAGAAAGGAGAAGGCCAGTCAGTCCCTCAAGACAGCCCCACTATCTATTTAGATTGTGACTAATTTGTATCTCCATTCCATTTACTCAGTCTTATATCCCTCAATAATCTTACTCAGCAAAAGCTTTGTCTCGAAAGCACCAATTCAACACCAACAGCCACATCCTTTAGTTATCACTAACTTTTGTACGAAGATCTGCTTCATGATTGTACTCCTTTGGCTTATCTCTAACTTTAGGATTACGGGATTGCAGGACAGAGAAAGATATATAAATGCAAACATAAAACTGGAGAGTAGGTCATTTAGCCCATGAGCATGCTCACCATTCAATAACATCGTGGCAATGTGACTGAGCATCAAATCCAGACTCCAACCTATTGCTGATAACCTTTCACCCATCGCTTACCAAGAATCTATCCATAATATAAAACTAAGAACCGGGATGTTGGAAATATTAAACAGTTGAGGTCCCAGCACCGATCCCTGTGGTATACCAGGTGTTACATCTTAACAACCTGAAAACATTTTGTCGACTCTGCTTCCTGTTCATCAGCCAATTGGTGTTCCATAACAATATGCTAACACCTATATCAGGAGCTTTCATTTTCTACAATGACCATTGATGTGGGTATAGGTTAAGTCCCCATAACTCCACAGGACCATAGGGGTGCTCCGAGAGAGAGATGATGACCAGTGCAGAGTTGAACCTGACAGTCACCATGCCTCAGGTGAGGGTTGAGATTGAGAAGGCAGGATTTTCACTGTGACCCCAGCTGGCTTGGGAACTGAACCCAGGCTGTCAGCATTTCTCTGCATCATAAATCAGCCATCCAGCCAACTGAGCTAACTGCATCCGTGAAGCACATTTCATAACCTCTGCAATGCTCCACTCTAGCTTACAGCCAAAGAGTGGTCAGTTACATTATAAGAACCAGCTGCAGCTAATTTGCACACAGCAAGATCCCACAAACAGTCATGCAATTTTTTTAAAACCCAGTTTTTAAAGCGATGTTGATCAAGGGATATAAATGTGGTTCAGGATTTGGAGGATCATTTATACTCATTGAAAACATATGGGACGTCACATTAAAGCTGCATCTGAAAGCCAGCACTTCCAGCAAAGCCACACTCCCTTAATGCTGCAGTGAAGAAATAGGAACATAGACACAGACCATTCAGCCCCTCGAGCCTGTTACACCATTCACTAAGATCATGGCTGATCTGTAACCTGACTCCTTAGACCTGCCTTTGGCCCTTATCCCTCAGTAACTTTGCTTACCAAACATTCATCTATCTCAGATTTAAAATTAACAACTGATTCCAACATCACCTGCTGTTGGTGGAAGACTGTTCCAAATATCCACCACCCTTTGTGTCAAAGAACTTCCTAACATCACACCTGAAGTCAGGACCTAATTCTCAGATTATGTACCTTCGTTCTAGAATCCCCAATCAGTGGGAATAGTTCCTTTATCTACCCTGTCTTTTCCTGATAATATCTTGAAGATTTGAACAGATCACCCTTTAACCTTCTAAATTCTAAAGAAAACGCCTAACGTGTAATCTTTCTTCATAGTACTTGAAATCTGGGTATTTTGATATCTGAAGCAATGTCAATCAAGAGGTGTTGCTGAGGCCAGGATTTTCTCCATTACTACCCTGCCTCAGGTTCTTGAGAAAGTCCAATGAGACAGACACAAATTCTAGTTGCTGGGTGTCTCTTATGATGCAGCTCATGGTTGGAAACACTGTCCACGCACTAACTCATGGCATCCCCAGCGGACACTGCTAAACCTCCATCCAGTATTTAAACAGTAGCAGCATAGCATGCGGTCTCTTTGCCATTTAATTATTCCTGCAACGATTAACAACTGGAATTTGGCTCTGACCTCGAGTTCAGGAAAAATTCTGTGATCCTGAGGGAGGTTAAAACACTTGACATTTTACCCACAACATATCCTGAACCAATACTGCAGAAGCATTACTGAAATTTGATATTCCTATGCTGCACTTAAGTAGAATACCAGAAAGAGATTAATTGCTCCTTCACTCTAGGCTTTGAAAATGTGCAAGTAATGGTTAATGCATTAAATATTTGAAATCTAACACCTTAGGAGGCAGGGTGATTAAAGTTTAATGATTTTAGTTGCATCCTTATTTAGATAAACAATGTATTGGAGGCAGATTGCAGCTCCAAATTAAAACTGCAGTCAGCAAATTGAGCAAGTAATTTAACTCTATCTTTTAGACTACTTGACTCACGGTTTAAAAAAATGACAGGTACAACTAATTGCATGGAAAGAAGAAGCATTAGGTGTGTGAGATACCAGTCCTAGAAATCCTGGGATTATGAACGGAGTAGCTACTGCATCCCATATGAAATTTGCCAGCACCTAATTAATACAGGGAATCTTGCTGGATGTTCTGTCCATTTTGAAAAGATGCAAACACCATGTGTAAATAAATGCTGGTCAACTTACAGCCAGCTGTTGCTGCAGATCTTTGATTTGAGTCTGGAGGGCCTCCATCTGTTGGCTTGGTCTCTTTGGGTTTGTGGCAGAGTAAGAAAGCTGAGACAGGCCATTTAGCGCCTGTTTTAGCCTCTCCACATCATTTAACAGCTCAGTGATCTATGACAGGGAAGAAAAAAAAATTAACAGTTTTGTCAATTCACATACCAAGGGTTTGTTTCATAAGGCAGAATGGTAAAGAGGGGTCCCAATTTGATTGGGAATCAAATATATTTAGAACAATCTGCTGGGACTAGAAGAAAGTCTCACGTGTACATAGCGCCTTTCAGAGTCTCGGGGCATTCTGAAGTGTATCACAACCAATAGAGTATGTTCCAAAGTGTAGTTGCTGTTAAAATGTAGGAAATACAACCAATTTGCACACAGCAAGTTCCCACAAACACAAGTATGACATGAATGATCAAATACTATCTTTTTTTTTCTGCTGTTGGCTGATGAATAAATATGGGCCAGGACAATCAGGAGAAACCCCTGCTCTTCTTCAGATAATGTCCCCCCATTGACCCCACATCCCATAGTAGTGTGCAGCACCTCAGTTTAATAGCACCTTTAAAAATAAGCAGATCTGACAGTACAGCACTCCCTCAGTACTGCCACTGCATATGTCAATTTATACTGAATCGAGATTTCTAAAATAGGATTTGAGAAACAACAAATAAATAGTTTGGCGTAACAATCTTTCCTGAAAGTACTGATATTGCAAACATCTGCAAACAAAGGCTGAGCAATAGAGTACCTCGGAAGGCTGATGCAAAATGCCTTTGGAAACTCATCCTCAAAATAATAACTGCCAAAGCACTTATACACATAGTCTTCTCTCACTGGAGCTCCCTGACATCTTGAAACAGCAGATATAGTCCCTTTTGGAAGAATGTGAATATTGGGCAAACAAAACGTTCCTTGGCTTAGCACCATGGCTACCCATATAACAAACAGACCAGCTCAGAGACATTATATACTTACTGCACATGTGAAAACAAGAGCCATTCAGGGTCGTGAACCGCTTCCCCTGACAGAACAGTCAACGTTCTATTGTATGCAAAGAATCTACTTTTCTATAGTAAATCTAAAGTAGATAACATGGACCCCAATGTGGTTAGCACTGCTGCCTTACAGCACCAGGGACACTGATTTGATTCCAGCATTGGGCCACTGTCTGTGTGGACCTTGCACATTGTGTCTGCGAGGCTTTCCTCCCACAGTCCACAGCTGTGCAGGTTAATTGGATTGACCCTGCTGAATTGTCCCATAGTGTCCAAGGATATGGTTTATGCAGGGTAATGCATGGTAAATGCAGGGTTATGGGGTTAGGCTGGGGGAATGGGTGTGGACGGGATACTCTTCAGAGGGGCAGTGCAGACTCGATAGGCCAAACGGCCTCTAGCTGCACTGAAAGGATTCTATGATTCTATGATTCTATGATTCAATTACCTCCAATATCACAGTACCGATACTTTGGTCATGTTAATACTTCTGCCTAAAAACTAGGCAAGTTTGCCAGCTCAGGAAGAGCAAAGATGCATAGAATCTACAAGAAGAAAGGGGTCATTTATCTCAATTATTCTAAACTGGAGGAGTAAATTACTGCAAATGCTGGAATCTGGATTGAAAACAAGAAATGCTGAAGATCACAGCAGGTCAGGCAGCATCTGAGAGAGCGCAAGCAAGCTACCATTGAGTCTAGATGACTCTTCATCAGAGCTGAAGTGCTCTATACTGGTATCAATTTTCACAAACTTCCTCCCACTATTTACTTTATCTCAACATGAGTTTCTATTCCTTTCTCCCTCATGATTATCTAACTTCCCTTTAAATGCACCTGTACTACTTACCCCAACCACTTGTTAATGAGATCCACATTCTACCACTCCCTAACTAATGAACTTCTTCAATTGCTTCTTGGATTGAATTAGCAACTATTGGATATGAAATGGGCTAGAGTTTGACTTCCCTTACAGAGACACCTTATGTTAAAACGGAAAGAAACTGGTTAGTCTCAAATAGAACCTCCCAGCCCACAATGCCTGAAAATCCATGTAATTCCTTTTACTCTACCTTGTTATCCTTGGCCTCAATTTGTTTTGCAGATTCCTGAATACTTTTCTGCAGATCACAGATTGTTGCTATGGATTCATCATATTTATTTTTAAGCTCTTTAATTTCTTGTTCAAAGCTGAAGGAACGCGATTGAAAAGTCTCCTTTTCATCTTTTGCCGATAGTTCTTTCTCTTTGGCACGTAATATTTCGGTGCACATTTGCTCCTCCTTCTCTTTCAACTCTGCCAAGTCTTTACTTAATGAAACTACCTGAGCCTCTAACTTACTCTTCACCGTTTCATGCTCTGATAGGTCACTTGCTTCTTTTGCTTTTAGTTCTGCAATTGTCCTACTCAGGGCTTCAGTATCTGCCTGCAGTTTGGAAATCTCTGCAACTTTTCCCTTCAATTCCTCTTCTCCCTCATTCAGCTGCTTCTTCAGTCTGGCAATATCTGTGTCCATCTTTTCTTTCCATTCTGTATGCTCCAGAAGTGGTACAGAACTCTTCTTCTGATCGTCTAATTGCAGTAACAAGGTTTCTACCTTTTGCTGCTCCTGTGCACAAGAATTCTTCATCTTCTCCTTTTCCTTCTGCAGCTCCAAAATTCTGCTGTTCAGTGAAGTGTTCATTGCCTCAAACTCTTCCACAGGGATGTACTTTAACTGTATACTCTCTTTTAATGCCAGGATATCTGATTGCAGTTTGGCATTTTCCTTCTGTGATCTTTCACTTTGCAACTCAACATCTGCGTACTTCCTCATCACTTTTTCCACATGCTCATCCTTTTCACCCATACCATTAACAAACTTGCTTTCCATTTCTTCATATATATCTTTGGAAACATAATGTTTCTCCAAGTTTTCTTCCAAATGTCCAACCGTTTTCTTCAGCTCTTCAGTCTCTTTCTTGTACCTTTTGGCTTCCTCTTCAAATGTAGAAGATTGCCGAGTCTTTTCTGTCAACTGATTCATCAGTTCTTTCAAAGTGATAGTAAGTTCGTTTTGCTTCTGTTCATAATTTTCCATAGGAACATACTGTGAACGGAGGGATTCTTGTAGCATATGAAGCTCATTCGCAAGGCTCTGTTTTTCTTTGCAAAGCTCAACTGTTTCTTCCTGAACTTTCTTATATTTTGACAAAGTCTCATCAATTTTCTTCTGCTGTTCCTCCATTCTGCTGTTCAGGATAGTCTTCAACTCTTCATGCTGCTGAATGGGTATGTACTCTTTTTGCATTCGATCTTGAAGGATAACTAGCTGTTCTTTCAACTGATTTTTCTCTAGTTCGCCTCTTGCCATCTCATCCTGTGCTTCGCTGAATTGCTTTGTTGCCACTGACAGTTCATGTGCAGCTTTTTCTGAAGCAGTAGTCAGAATCTTTTTCAATTCCTCATGTTTTTCCAAGGGGACATACTGATTCTTCAATGAGTCTTTCAAGGCCGCAATTTCTTCCAATACAATTTCTGTCTGCCTCTGTGCCTGGCTATACTTCTGGTTGAGTTCTTCCAACTCAGTCTTCGATTTGCTAACAATGGAATTTAGTGTTGTTATTTCCTCCTTGTACTTTTCTGGGGACACATACTGAGTCTGCACATGATTCAGATTGTCCTTCATTGCATTCTTCTCAACTTTTAACTTTTCTGATTCTTTCAAAGCCTCCTTGTACCTTTGTGACACCTCAGAAACCTGCTTGTTCAGGTCTTGAATTGTTTGGTTCATTGAAGACTTTAATGAGTCGAGTGTTTTCAAAGGTACATACTCCGCTTGAATTTTGAGTTTCAAGTCTTCCAGTTCAGCTTTGATGTGAACATTTTCCTGCTGAATAGCTTCATTTTCTTTTTGTAGCTTTTGTTGCTTTTGGGTTACATCAGAAATCTCTTCACTCTGATTGTCAAAGGAACTCTTTAACAACTGATACTGTTCAATCTTCACACATGTAGCTACTTGAGCCCTCTCTCTCTCCAGGTCCTTCTGCAGCTGGACGACTTCCTTTTGAGCGCTTTCATATTTATCCTTTGCTTCTACCACCTGCTTCTCCTTCTCTTCCAAACCATTGATGAACGAATTCCTCATATTCTCAAACTCTTCAGCTGGTATGCACTGCAATAGCTTCTTTTTCATGCTCTTCAGTTCATTCTCCATTCCAATAATCTTTCGCTCTGCTTCTAGCTTCTTTTGCTCTGACATGGTTAAAGCCTCCTTCATCCCTCTCACCTCCTCCTTGTATCTGTCCACTTGCTTAACCTCACCCGACTCCTGTATTGATAAAACGCCAAGTTTTATTTGGTTTTGGAGCCTCTCCACCTCCGCCAATGCTTCCTCATGCTTCGATTTCACATCCTTCAACTGAGTTTTGAGCTCATCCACTGCTCGATTGTTTCCCACTGAACCTTGTTTTGAAAGGTGATCTTTGAGCGCATTGACATGAGCTTGCAGGAGCTTCACTTTTCCTTCCGATTCGAACATTCGCTTTTGTACTTCGCTTAAGGCATCCTCCAACTGCCTTATCTGCTCTTCCGATTCCTGCTTCACACGGTTGCACTCGTCGTTTAAGACTTCGCAATGTTTATTCCTGTTCGACAACTCCAGCTGGAGGTTGCTTACCTCCTTCCGTGCCAGCTCAAACCTTTTCCTCGTCATCTCCAAGTCCTTCCTCAAATTCTCATTTATCTCGGGCATGCTCTGAAACGGTGCTAACACCTCACTTGATCCAACAGCTGATTTGAGAGGATGCTGAAAGACAAATAGATTATTACAACAATTCGCAAACACAATAAATTATACTAAACTTTAAGAGACTGCTTTGTTCATTTCCAAGTGCAATAATTATAGAGGTGCTGCCATGGACTCAAAATCTCAATTTCATTAAGGTGGGACAAAGTCTATCATAGAACATAGAACATAGAACATTACAGCGCAGTACAGGCCCTTCGGCCCTCGGCCCTCGATGTTGCGCCAACCTGTGAAACCAATCTGAAGCCCATCTAACCTAAACTATTCCATTATCATCCATATGTTTATCCAATGACCATTTAAATGCCCTTAAAGTTGGCGAGTCTACTACTTTTGCAGGCAGGGCATTCCATGCCCTTACTACTCTGAGTAAAGAACCTACCTCTGATATCTATCCTATAGCTTTAAATTGAGGGATGATAGATATGTCCCCTCGTGCTAGCCATCACCATCCAAGGAAAAAGGCTCCCACTGTCCACCCTATCTAATCCTCTGATCATCTTGTATGTCTTTATCAAGTCACCTCTTAACCTTCTTCTCTCTAACGAAAACAGCCTCAAGACCCTCAACCTTTCCTCATAAGACCTTCCTTCCATACCAGGCAACATCCTGGTAAATCTCCTCTGCACCCTTTCCAATGCTTCCACATCCTTCCTATAATGCGGTGACCAGAACTGTACGCAATACTCCAAGTGCGGCCGCACTTTGTACAGCTGCAACATGACCTCATGGCTCCGAAACTCAATCCCTCTACCAATAAAACCTAACATACCGTACCGCCTTCTTAACAACGCTATCAACCTGGGTGGCAACTTTCAGTGATCTATGTACATGGACACCGAGATCTCTCTGCTCATCCACACTACCAAGAATCTTACCATTAGCCCAGTACTCTCTATTCCTGTTACTCCTTCCAAAGTGAATCACCTCACACTTTTCCGCATTAAACTCCATTTGCCACCTCTCAGCCCAGCTCTGCAACTTATCTATGTCCCTCTGTAACCTGCAACATCCTTCCGCACTATCCACAACTCCACCGACTTTGGTGTCATCCGCAAATTTAATCACCCATCCTTCTACGCCCTCATCCAGGTCATTTATAAAAATGACAAACAGCAGTGGCCCCAAAACAGATCCTTGAGGTACACCACTAGTAACTGAACTCCAGGATGAACATTTCCCATCAACCACCACCCTCTGTCTTCTTACAGCTAGCCAATTTCTGATCCAAACCGCTAAATCACCCTCAAACCCATGCCTCCGTATTTTCTGCAATAGCCTACCATGGGGAACCTTATCAAACACTTTACTGAAATCCATATACACCACATCAACCGCTTTACCCTCATCCACCTGTTTGGTCACCTTCTCAAAGAACTCAATAAGGTTTGTGAGGCACGACCTACCCTTCACAAAACCGTGTTGACTATCCCTAATCAAATTATCCCTTTCTAGATGATTATAAATCCTATCTCTTATAATCCTTTCCAACACTTTACCCACAACCGAAGTAAGGCTCACTGGTCTATAATTACCAGGGCTGTCTCTACTCCCCTTCTTGAACAAGGGGACAACATTTGCTAGTCTCCAGTCTTCTGGCACTATTCCTGAAGACAATGACGACATAAAGATCAAAGCCAAAGGCTCTGCAATCTCCTCTCTAGCTTCCCAGAGAATCCTAGGATAAATCCCATCCGGCCCAGGGGACTTATCTATTTTCACACCTTCCAGAATTGCTAACACCTCCTCCTTATGAACCTCAATCCCGTCTAGTCTAATAGACTGTATCTCAGTATTCTCCTCGACTACATTGTCTTTTTCCTGTGTGAATACTGACGAAAAATATTCATTTAGCACCTCTCCTATCTCTTCGGACTCCACGCACAACTTCCCACTACTGTCCTTGACCGGCCCTAATCTTACTCTAGTCATTCTTTTATTCCTGACATACCTATAGAAAGCTTTAGGGTTTTCCTTGATCCTACCTGCTAAAGACTTCTCATGTCCCCTCCTGGCTCCTCTTAGCTCTCTCTTTAGGTCCTTCCTGGCTAACTTGTAACTCTCAAGCGCCCTAACTGAGCCTTCACGCCTCATCTCTACATAAGCCTCCTTCTTCCTCTTGACAAGAGATTCAACTTCTTTAGTAAACCACGGTTCCCTCGCTCAACCACTTCCTCCCTGCCTGACAGGTACATACTTCTCAAGGACACGCAGTAGCTGTTCCTTGAACAAGCTCCACATTTCAATTGTGCCCAGCCCCTGCAGTTTCCTTCTCCATCCTATGCATCCTAAATCTTGCCTAATCGCCTCATAATTGCCTTTCCCCCAGCTATAACTCTTGCCCTGCGGTATATACCTATCCCTTTCCATCGCTAAAGTAAACATAACCAAATTGTGGTCACTATCACCAAAGTGCTCACCTACCTCCAAATCTAACACCTGGCCTGGTTCATTACCCAGTACCAAATCCAATGTGGCCTCGCCTCTTGTTGGCCTATCCACATACTGTGTCAGGAAACCCTCCTGCACACATTGGACAAAAACTGATCCATCTAAAGTACTCTAACTATAGCGTTTCCAGTCAATATTTGGAAAGTTAAAGTCCCCCATAACAACTACCCTGTTACTTTCACTCTTATCCAGAATCACCTTTGCAATCTTTTCCTCAACATCTCTGGAACTTTTTGGAGGCCTATAGAAAACTCCCAACAGGGTGACCTCTCCTTTCCTGATTCTAACCTCAGCCCATACTACCTCAGTAGACGAGTTCTCATCAAACGTCCTTTCTGCCACCGTAATACTGTCCTTGACTAACAATGCCACACCTCCCCCGACCTTACTGAAACATCTAAACCCCGGAACCTGCAACAACCATTCTTGTCCCTGCTCTATCCATGTCTCCAAAATGGCCATAACATCGAAGTCCCAGGTACCAACCCATGCTGTAAGTTCACCCACCTTATTCCGGATGCTCCTGGCATTGAAGTAGACACACTTCAAACCATCTTCCTGCCTGCCGGTACACTCCTGCGACCTTGAAACCTTATTTATGACCTCACTACTCTCAACCTCCTGTACACTGGAGCTACAATTCCGGTTCCCATCCCCCTGCTGAATTAGTTTAAACCCTCCCGAAGAGCATTAGCAAATTTCACCCCCAGGATATTGGTACCCCTCTGGTTCAGGTGTAGACCATCCCGTTTGTAGAGGTCCCACCTACCCCAGAATGAGCCCCAATTATCCAGGTATCTGAATCCCTCCCTCCTGCACCATCTCTGTAGCCACGTGTTCAACTGCTCTCTCTCCCTATTCCTCGCCTCGCTAGCACGTGGCACGGGTAACAAACCAGAGATAACAACTCGGCTTGTTCTAGCTCTAAGCTTCCACCCTAGCTCCCTGAATTTCTGCCTTACGTCCCCATGCCTTTTCCTACCTATGTCGTTGGCGCCTATGTGGACCACGACTTGGGGCTGCTCCCCCTCCCCCTTAAGGATCCCGAAAACATGATCCGAGACATCACTGACCCTGGCACCTGGGAGGCAACACACCAACCGCGAGTATCCTATGGAATGAACTGCTAGTCAACAAAATAATAATTTCTGAGAATGAAAATCTGGTTAGATCAACAGTTACAAATCTGAATTGCAAGACTTTTTTTATAAAATAAGAATATTTTACAATCTATTTGGGCACCAATAAATGCCCCAGCACCCAAACCTAATTTCTATCCCTCAGACTCCACTCTCACGGGTACTTCTTATCTTGCACCACCATCAGCAACAACCTTTTAATCGTCGAGTCCCATTCACTAAATTAAAGAGTTATGATGCAAAACAGGGGCCATTCAGCCCTTCACAGTGGCACTGGCTGTCATAGAGTCAGAGAGACAGACCTTTCAGTCAACTTGTCCACGTCGACCACATTTCCCAAATTAAACCAGTCCCATTTGCTAAGGTTTGGCCCGTATCCCTCTAAACTTTCCTATTCAGGTAGATGTCCAAATGTCTTTTACATGTTGTAACCGTACCCGCATCTATCAATGAGCATTACGAATTTGATACGATTCTCCTGCCTCATTCCTTACTCTTACACTTGTTTCTATTCAAATCATCATCCAATGCTCTCTCTCATGAACCTCTAACACACCTCCAGGCAGTGCACTCCAAACCTTTTAAGCTTACACCACATATCCTGTGTTTGCAAATCACTTTAATTCTGTGCCCTAACATTCTTGATTCTTTCACAAATAGGGAAGAGTTTTCCCCGAAAAACACCTCATATGATTTTGAAAACATTATCACAGCTACTTTTAGCATTCTTCTCTCCACGAAGAACAGTTCAATCTCTTCGATCTATCCTCATAACTAACGGTCCTCTTCCCTGGAATCATTTTTGTAAGGTAGTGGCTGCTGAAATGGTAACGAACTTGTCCTTTATTATTGTATGCCTATTTCATATTAATTGCTTTCTAATAAGCAAGTTCATTACCTCACAGACATTTCTTCAGATTTTAAGAACCTCCCTTAGAACAAAACTTTTAATATTTTCTAATCACTCCCCATAGCCAATCTTCTAGGCTGTTGTAAAGCACCTCAAAACGTTTAATTGAGAGCATGCACTTAGTGGTGAAAACATGCAACTTATCCAAGGAGCCTCCACATGTGCCCCCACATGTTGCTCACTGCTTTTGTGAAAAGGTAAATGTGCCTTAACGAAAGAAAACAAAATAACAATCAGGAAATAGTTCACAAAGCAACAAAAACTTCTGATTTCTTTTCAACCAACTGATGGCAAAAAACACAAAAAAGTTAGTATGATTACATAGGAAATAGCAATTTCAACAATTTTCAAACTAAAAGGTAATAAATACTTTTTTTAATAAAGCAAAGAAAGCTACTAAAGTGAATTGATTCAAGAAGCATTTATAAAGAAGAAAAGGATATTGAGACAAAGGAGATGGTTGGAAAAGTTTGTTGTGCCTACCATCCTTAAACAAAATGAGTTTTTGTTTGTGCTTTTGCAAGGCACATGTTGGAAAGAAATATCTTAGTAGCAGTAGCCTCACACGAAACATCAGACAACAGTAGATTAAGTTTTATTAGGATATTATTCAGCATTAGTATTGACTAGAACTTGGGATTCCTTCAGCCTCAATAAGTGAGGATGTTAATATCTTACTCCCGATTGGTTTTTAAGATCAGCTTCAGCTCATCTTTATTCTGTTTTCAGATCTTTACAAGAAGAGAGGAAACCTCTCCAGAGTAGAAACCACCCTCAGAGTGAACAAAGCAATATGTACTGCACATAAATTTAACCTCATAGGGTGCTCCACTTCAGATTAACAAGTAAATTTACAAATATCAACCTAATCACTTGGAATTGATTCAACCTTCTAATTATTTCACCAAGCTGAAGTGTAAATATTTACATACTCTAAGGAGCACAAATAAAACAAGATTGAAAGTGATTAACTGTTCTATGAACCCAGGGAGAAGTGATGGCTTAAGTCAGTCTTTCCGGACAATTAATCCAGAGGCCCAGATTCAAGCTCTGGGGTGTGTTCAAATCCCACCACGATAGCTGATCAAACTTAAATTTGGTCAATAAATTTGGAATCAAAAGCTAGTCTCTGTAATGGCAATCAAAAACCATCATTGACTGTCATCAAGAACCCGCCTGTCTCTATAATGCATTTTAGGGAAGAAAATCTGTCATCCTTACCCTGCCTGGCCTAAACGCGACTCCAGACCTGCAGTAATGCGACCGACTTTCAACAGCCCTCAGTTCAAGGAGTTATTCCCAACACCAAAATGGCCGCACGCACATGCATTGACAGACAGCGACACCACTGCTGACATCACTACGTGAGGATGCACTTGCACATGAGCTGATGTCATCACATTCAGCACACAGTGATATCCGCACTGCACGTGTCAATGGCCTCAAAAAGGTCAGTGTGTAGGTGCATGCATTGTCTGAGCACATGCAGCTATAATATTTGGTTGTCAGTGGGTCCTGTCCTGGGATGTTGCACACATTTCCAAAGGTTGAGGGGATGAGGATGGAGTTTGGGAAGGAGACTGGGAGTAAGGGTGGAGATGGACGGTGGAGACAAAGGGACAAGGCAGAGGGGGAGGAGGTTTCTGCCATATGCCGCGTCACCCTGAATCTTCAAGAAGCAAGCAGTGAGGGGGAGCTTGGTAACAGGGACGGACCCAGGGTCAGCACCCACCTCCCCTTCTAGGGCTCTGTCTCCCACCTCATCCCATTACCTCCCACATTGTTTCAGGAAGACCAGTTTGAGGTGTAGGAGGCTTGATAAGAAACTGTAAATCAAATTAAAACAAATTATGGACAATTATAATCAACTTATTTTTGCTTTCAATGTATTTATGTAGGAGTATTGACCACATCCTTGAAAACAGACCCAATCATGTTTTAATTTCCAGAACCTCTAAAACTTTCCTTCCCCTTGGGTCTCCCATCGGATCTCAGCTCGTCCAGAAACCTATAAGTCTGATTGCTGCCACTCTGCCATTATCTCGTGCTCCTGGATAAACTATTAAATTCATCAAGTGATCATCTTCATTATTGACAGTTAACCACTGTGTACACTGAAATCCTTCAAGACCACTCTCACCAAATCAGAAACTCCTTTTCTTTGTTCTCCGTAGAAACAGAACATTTTTAGGTAGTTACAATACTAAATCTTTACTACATTCCTTAAACTCTTCACATTAGCAAGTCAAAAAAAAATTACCTGTGATTCTGTGACAGGAAAATTAGCCTGCTTTGCAACCATTTCTTCTTTCACTAAAGAAATGAAACATAAAATAATAATTTAATCTAAACATTGCATGCATATAACCATTTTCTTAATTAACTCTATCCCCTCCAGAACATTCAGCTTATTACATGGACTGTTGCATTGCATCATGTAAAACAAACAAAATGCACTCAAAATTAAACAATAATCTTTTACCAGGAGGAAGCAACAACATTTGCACTACATTTTATTAGGGGACAAGGAATTCTCAGAATTCATAACACATCTTTGTTAAGAGTTCGTTTTCATTTTTTTTGGTATCAGGCAGCAAATTAATTCTGAGTAAGTCACATTCTATTTGGAATCTGGATTCAAACTGAATGCAGTTTCCGAAAATTAAAGTGTACACAGTCTGCTGGCTTTAAAGGGATATGTATTCACACAGTGCCTTTTACACAACAGAATGAGTAAAAGCATTTCACAGGAATATTACAAACAAAATTTGACAAGCCAGACAGCACAGATTTAATCACAACTGGAAACAACAGAGGCAATGATTACAGAAACTTGCTTTCTTTACCCCTCACCCCAACTAAAAAAGACCCAAATGACTAGAATTTGAAATGCAATTGCTGGATATTTTAAATGATATTTCAACAAATATTTGTAGAAATACCAGGATATCAGGAAGAGAATGGAGGTAAGTCTCACTGATTTAAGGAATGAATGCAGATTTGTTGAGCTGAATGAATAACACAGCACCAGAGGAGGTCAATGTGAATATTTAAAAGTTAAAAGTAAAGAGGAACCTGGTTGCAGTTAGATGTTGCATTTTGAGGTGGGAGTTTAAATGCATCTCACAACCCATGGGCATCACTGGAAAGGCCAGCACTTATTCCCCACTCCTAATTGCTCAGAGGGCAGTTAAGAGTCAACTACATTGCTGAGAGAGAGTCTGGAATGTGTTGGACAGAACAGGTAAAGGCAGAAGATTTTCTTCCCTAATGGACATCAGTGAACAAGGTGGGTTTTTTTTACAACAATTGGCAGTGGTTTACATGGTTGGCATTAGGCTAATTTTTAATTCCAAGAATTAAAAAAATTAAATCAGCATCTGCCACAGTGGGATTCAAACCCATGTCTCCAGAACATTAATCTGGGGGGTTCTGGATTACTAGGCCAGTGACACTACCACTTTCCCATTCAGCAAGTGTTCAATGTGTACAATGGATGTCTAAAATGGGAGAAAATTCTCGATTCCATGATATTAAACATCCTTAATCCTTCGATAATTGCCAAAAACCATTTTTTATTGACACCATATGACTAATGGCACAAACAAATTTTTGATGTGCTCTGTGGTAGAAGGTTTGAAAGTATTAATATCCTTTCAGGATTTGGACAGATCAAAGACATTTAATACCTTCCGTGACCACTGTCACTGTTTTGGTTCATTCGCATCTCTGTGCTTCACCTGGGACAAGAGGTAGTAACGCTGAACATATCAACAAAAAATATTAACTGCATTAAATCAATCTCAGACAGCAACAGAAACTTTGCTTTACTTTCAAGTTGCCTTAGTTTTTTTGATTAACTCTCAGTAACCCAAGCAAGGGCAACGTTACAACCGATGGACAAGTAGCAAAATAAACAAACAATCATTCAGAAATGAGAAGAAATATTAACACTGCTCAATATTAATAATCAACAGAATTAACCCTCCATAATGCAGGTCGAGGATGTCATAGTGGTAATGTCTCTGGATTAGTAATCCAGAACCCTCAGCTTATAGCTGTTGGGTCATGGGTTTGGTCCCCACCATGGCAAATAGTGGAATTTTAAAAGCAATAAAAATAATTCAGATTTACATGCCAAATAATAATACCTTAGCTAAACCAAATCAGATATGCAAATAATTTCAGGTTAATCACGGTAGATTTATCTACGTCACAGTAATTGTCATCCAATTTAACATTTCTTTGCTTACTACTCCAAATTCAAAAGTCTTGAGCCCATCAAAATTTTTAAAAAGTAATGATTTATAGCTATTAAAAATAAAGATTCAATCTTACCCTTTACCATTGGGATGCCTGCAGTCATCTGCTCGTAGAAGTGCCCACTCTACATTAATTAAAACACAAGGTTTCATTAACAATTAAATTCAAAAGGATCCTCCAATGTTTCAGTAAGAACAACTCAAGTTCATATAACAACTTTAATGCCATGAAATGCAACACAGCATCATTAGACCACCTTCTCCAGCATAACATTTCTGAGATTCTGTAAGTGCTGCAGATACATGGAAACACCACAACCATCAAGTACCCCTCCAAGCCACTCATCATCTTGACTTGGAAATATATCGCTGTTCCTTCACTGTCCTTGGGTCAAAAGTCTGGAACTCTCTCCTGAACAGCACCGTGAGTCTACCAACAGCATGTGGACTACAGTGGTTCAAGAAGGCAGCTCACCACTACCTTCTCAAGGGCAACTAGGGGCAGGCAACACATGCTGGCTGAGTGAGCTACACCAATATCCCGTGGGCTAATAAAATTATAAAGCAAAGTACGATCAATAAGGTGACTGAAGAAGAGATGGTTGAAGGCTTAGTTAAAAAAGGTATTTTTTTTTTTAAACTGAGCATTTTAAGGACGTATAGGAGGTGAGAGATCCCAAAAGGTGGAGGGGCTTGTTGGATAAGGGTGAAATGCAAGAAACTATGAACCAAGCAGCTGAAGATGTGACCTCCGATGTTGGAGGGATTATCACAGATACGCAAGCGGCCAACATTGGAGGAGAGCAGCGTTTTAACAGAATTCTTGGTCTGGACAAAGCTACAAAGATACAGAGTGATGCCATGGAGGAACTTGCTTGACTGGGAGCAGTGGAGTTCAAGCACAGGAGTGATAGATGACTGAACATGACGGCACAGGTTAAGGTGAGAGAGCATAGCTTTAGATGAGCTTAAAATTTTTAAAAAATTCATGATGTGGGCAGCGCTGGCTGGGCCAGCATCCACTGGCCACCCCTAATTGCCCAGAGGGCAGTTGAGAGTCAACCACATTGCTGTGGGTCTGGAGTTACATGTAGACCAGACCAGGTAAGGATAGCAGATTTCCTTCCCTAAAAGGACACAAGTAAATCAAATGGGTTTTTCTAACAATTGACAATGGTTTTATGGTCATCATTACACTCTTAACTCCAGATTTTTGTTGAGATAAAATTCCACCATCTGCCATGGCAGGATTCAAACCCAGGTCCCTAGAACATGATCTGGGTCTCTTGATGATTAGTCTAGTGATAATACCATCAGGCCATCACGTCCCCTATCATTTAAGGAAAGTGGAAGATGTAGGATAACCAGGTATGTATTAGAAAAATGTGAAACCCAGTTTGGAAGAACATCGGCAGTCTAGAATAAGTCACATTTTCAAGGGAGGTAAAAAAGTGCCAGGTTATCTAATCTGAGTCAGAGTAGCAAGTTCCTGCACCTTATTGTGCTTAAGTGATACCTGCCACAATCTGTGACTGTCAGCAAGCTCACGATTTTTGTTTTAAACACAAACCTGGCTGATTCACTTGGAACAACTAGCACACAAAATAAAAGTGAAGGAAGTAGAGGGGGGAATAGCTGGTGTAAAAGTGAGTGAGGAAACTCTGACTTTGAAGCTGGAATTAAGACACGTGGCCACCATAGACATTCAGAGTGCTACACCCTGACTTTGGCCCGTTTTATACTTTCCTGGGAAAGTACGAGACACAGGCAGACCATGTCAGGGGCAGGAAATCCTCCACAATGACAATCAGATGAGAAGTCTCAAATTTGTTTCTACAAACTCAAGCTGGTGAAAAATAGCACAATCTTTTTATTCTTGGCAGGGTTAGGGGTACGAGGTGGGCAGGAATGCGACAGAGCAATCAAGGAAGTTCCTCAGAGAGCTCACAAAATCTCATGCAGCAATTTCAAAACATTACAACAGGATGTATTCAAAAACATGATGACCAGCCACCAACTGTGTTATAAACACTCAAATTATCAAAGTCTGAACAACTTACTGCATAACCACAGCTAAAGAGAAGCAAAGCATCTGGACAAGTAAAATTAACAAGTAGAAGACACCCTTCAGTCTCTCCAACCAGCTGCTCACTGAGAAAGGGAGCAGCTGATAAAATAACTGGCCTCTGTCAACACACAATGCTTCAGAATCCAATTAGGAACAGGATTCATTAAAATGCACGGTGCTGGCAACAAAGCTCAAGTTGCAGAGATATCCCGAGAAACTGTAATGAGAGGAGAACACTTTTGCATTTATATAGTATCCTTTGCATCCTTGGGAGTTTTCAAAAGTGTCTCGAAAACAGTCACGTACTCTTGAGGTGCAAATACCATCGTTATGTGAGAAACATGATGGTCACTTTGCACACAGCAAGCTCCCACAAACTGCAACGGTAATAATCTGGTTTAGTGATGATGGTTGAGGGATATGTTTTTGTGCTCATCACAAGTGAGAATTTTTGTGCTCTTCTTTCAGATTACTATTGGGTAACATCCAGCTGCAAGGACTGATAGCACTTTGGTCAAACGTCTTGCCCCCAAGATGGCCCAGTGCCCCCTCAACAACATACTGGAGTGTCAGCTTTGCAATGCAAGACAACTGATGATTGGACTGAATGGGGGTACAGGACCTATTAGCAATGATGAATAAAGCAGTGGGTTTGAATCACAACAGTGATTGCTTTAACATGCAAGCATACATGTCATGTATTCATGCAGAAGTCATCCATGTACCTCATATGTTCGAAGCTTGGCTCTCAGGCTCTCGAGTACCTTCATATTGTCTTCCTGTTCTCGGTCCCGTGCCAGCAACAGGTTTTTCAGCTGCTGTCTCTGAAAGATTGAACACGGTACAGAAGCATAAATCACTCCTTGTTCCCAGTACCATTTGGATCTAACAAGTAAAACTCCAATCAAGCAACTTGCCGCCATGCAGAAGGTATAAAAATACAAACTCACATCCAAACTGTAAACTGATCACCTAACCCATGTTAGGGACAAAGAGACAAGAGGAGGCCATTCTGTCCCTCTTATTCCAACTGAACATCTTGGTTAAGCAACAATGATTCAGCTCTGAACATACTGCACTCTCCCTCTTCCCCACCTCCCTCAACCCTCAATAAGTTTTTAAAGCACATGGGTTAGGGAGGAAAGCATTCTAGATTTCCACCAGGCTGTATATGACAAAGTGATTCAGGATATCACCCATCAGCCTTGCTCCAACTGTAAGGCTTTACCCCGTTCTAGTTTCCTGCCACCAGACGAAGAGTGAAAGAAAAACATTAACTCATCAAATCATCAGTCAGCGTTAAACTGTACGCTAAGATTGTGCCACAGAAAAATCAGCAATGACATCATGTCTTCTACTGTCAGACTAAAAGTTCAAGAGACAGAAAAGACCAGGAGCAATTCAATCTGTTGGGCTATCAGTAGACTCCCAGTAAGCCTGTAAGGGGTTTAACAAAGACCAGATTTAGGATCAATGTCAAGTATTTATTTGTACAGAGGTGGAGGAAGATCTAGAAGAGGTTGCGGAGCAGATTAGTTGCAAAAATGTTGAATTTATTTAAGAAATAGCCAGACCCTACAACAAGGAAGATTAGGCATTCAGGAAGAACCAAATCACAATGTATGAAGGACATTTCTCATTTCAACACATTGTGACCAACAATGGAGGTTCAGTAAGTGAATTCCTATCAAATAAATTCAATCATTTCTTTGGAGAGAATGGGATTGGAGAAAAGCACAAGTATGAACTCCGTGAAATACAGTAAAATCTTGAAAGTTGCAGCACACTGAATGGTTTGGCCTACACATGAGTCATTTCATCCTACAAAGTGCTCTAGCATGTAAAAATCTGATAAAGAGATGTACAAATTCAATACAAAGATCACTTTAAAGCATTAGTAAATATAATAGCAAAAGACTGGGATCAATGAATAGTCTTTGATTTTGCCCAAAGGTTTGAGCTATAAAAGAGTACGTGGACAAATCAGCATCTCAAAGACACAATAAAAAAAAGAACGAACAAACTGCGGACGCCAGAAATTAGAAACAAAAACAGAAATTGCTGGAAAAGCTCAGCAGGTCTGGTGGCATCTGAGAAGAGAAATCAGAGATAACGTCTCGGGTCCAGTGACCCAAGGAAGTTCTGAGGAAGGGTCACTGGACTTGAAATGTTATCTCTGATTTCTCTCCAAAAGTGCCGCCAGACCTGCTGAGCTTTTCCAGTAATTTCTGTTATTGCATCTCCAAGACATATCTGAGCAAGATTACAGAATAAAACATAGCTGGAGATTATTCCAGAAAAGAAACTAAGTTAAATTGGAAGAGTAGAACAAGGGGATACCGGTTCAGATTAGTTGCAAGGAAATTTTGACTGTTAAGTATAAGGAAGCACTTCTTCAGTCAGTGACCTATACAGAAACAAACTCTCAGATAGGATTAATCTGGTTGGATGACCTAACAGGCTAAATCATCTTCCTCACTTGTAATTATCATGTAATTATCTATAGGAGTGATTGGTATCAATAAAAATTCACGATAGGTTTATGCTTTCAGAAGGTAAATGAATTGACATCACATAAAGCTGTGGTACAGAAGGAGGCTAACAGGCAATAATGTAAAGTTTATAGAAACTTCCTGAAATTATAATTTCATTCAGAGTTGGATTTGCTTGCATTTGATGGCCAATATCTATTTAATGCTTAGAAAGATCATGAAAAAAGGAACCAACACAAAATTTTCCATCTCGCTCAGAAGGTGACACTGGCTGGTGTGAGAATTGAGAAAAGCCAGAAGGATCACAGTACAATCTTAAAGCCCATCCTTATTGTGGTTGAGAGGTGGTGACAGCATGAAGATATACAGAAGAGATGAGATAGATGCAAGCACACCATTATAATCAGATTTATAACATCTGATGATCGTAGGCAGTTAGAAAGAGACAAAGAATTCAATAATTCCAAAAATTTCAGCTTCCGAGAAAAACCACCGAGTCTGAACTAACTGTAGAGGAAAGAAGTGCATGAAGAACAGTTGATTTTTCAGTTACGACTTCTTTTAAAAAAAAAACATACCTCATTTTGAAGATCTCCCACTGCCTTGCACTCCTATATAACAGGAATAACAAATTTGATTATCAAGTAGAACACACACTTCACTTTGACCACATCTTCATCTCCAGTCCCTCTCAGTTATACTCTATAACACTGATTCCAGTTAACTTTGGGATTCTCTTTCTAAACAACTAAGATACCTTTAGTTAAGATCCCAGGCTCTTATCGATGGCACCAACAAAGCTGGAAAGAGTTCAAGAAAAAAGTCAAGGTGGGTCAACAAATTGTGGCTAGCTGATGCCAAGATGCAAGTTTTTAAAAAGTCAGCAGATCAGAGTAAAGAAAACTGGGAGACAAAGAGAAGATCCTTAGTTTAAGTCATGGAAAAGAATTAAGCTGAAGTAGAACATGATGCAAAGAAACCTCAATCTCCAAAGTAGGACAGAAGCAAGGAGCTAAGCTTGTAGGATGGTCTATGCATGAAGTAGGGAGGAAGAATGACTCCAGTATTGAAGACTGAGAAAGGCACACATTAACTGAGATACATATTCACACAAACTCCACAGATGAGAAAATAAGCCATTTAACAATTGTTTATCTTCAGTATAAGAATTATCATGTTATCAGGAAAATCAAACAAATAAGCCATAAAGCTCCAAAATGATGCATAAGATTATGGCACAAAGTCAGACACCAATATGATTAATTTGGAATTATAACATATAATCATAACTGCTCACTGTTGTGCAACTTTGGATATGTTTTTAAAATCTAAAAACAGCATTGCAGTTTCTGTTAAAAGGCAGTTGCTAAACAATTAATAACTTTTTCAAATGGCTTTGCTAATTTATTAAAAATATTTATAGTTTAAGGGATCAGATTTACCAATGCAACTCAGCAGTTCAATAAGAGGTGGAAGTCAGGTGGTGGTGGCGGCAGATGGAGGGATGGGGAAGGAGGGAGAAACTACTTTCTAGGAAATAACAGCTGTAATTACTTAATGAACAAGAATGAATAAATATTGAATTAACCAACTTTTCTTAAAAACAGCAATAAGTACAACATTACATATTTCGAAATGGAAATTAAACACAGGACAAATGTTATTAAAAATAGAATCAATTTGAAGGAATCTATATAAAAGATGTAACCATGAGCAGAAGTGGTAGCTTTAAACAAATTTTTATGTTTTCCTCAAAGGGATCAAACAGTTGTAATACGTTTGAATCACCTGCCTCAAGATTCACTTCAAATTCTGAGAGCTTAAAGCCAGAAAAAAAAAAAGTTTAGTATGATATATTAGTATAGCCTTGAGGCAGCAGCTAATACAATTATATAATAAACACTAGGAAATAAATTTCAGTGCACTGCGTGGATAGCATTCTAAGAAATTAGAGCTTTAATAAATTATGTTTTTTTTTAAAGTAAATAGAGAAATGCTCAACAAGAATTGATAGACATAGCACAAGGCCAGCTCAACAGAGAAACCATTCTGTCTCTCTGGAAATACACTTGCAGGCAGTGTATCTCAACTCATCATTCTTGGAAACATCAGGATTCAACATTCCATGTTGACAGTACGAAGTGAGTACAATGGTGTCCTGTACATCCTTGAACCTATTCAAGTGCCTGGTAAGGAATGGGAACATAACCCTCAGTTGGATGGGAGCCAAAAAGCTCACCTTGAGCTGAAGGAGGGAGGTCACCATCTTGACATCTTTGGTACTGTTCTGTGCTCGTTGGTTGAAAAGGTTCCAACAAGTGGCTTACAATGTACTTTATTTCAAGGGGTTGGTAGTTTAAGTGTCTGGAGACACAGGGCAGCACTTTTTGGGCAGCTGTTTTCTTCAGAGGGAAGATGCACCAGGTAAGATGCAAGGTGGCGGGGAGAGTTGGGGAGTTCCCTATCATTTCAGCGAGAGAGCAGGATACTGAGCTCAACATACTCTGCGCCCACAGCTCACTTGCTCTCTGACATCGGTGTATCGCTCCGAACTGTCACAGATTGTATACTTTTCCTGTATACTTCACTAATATATCATATCTTAAATGTATAGCATATATTTATTCTTAGTAAACTACCTTAAAATTTTTTACAGTCAACTGTCCATCTTCGGTATCTGTGGGTGCCAAACCCCAAAATCTTACAGTATTTCATTACATGAGCTCCCTATTTTGGCTGCTAGATTGGAATCTTGCAGCACAGGCTGAGGCCATTCATTTCATCATATTTGTGCCAGCTCTTAGCAAGAGCTGTCCAATTCATCTTACTCACCTCCACTTTCCCTAGAGCTCCGCAAATTTTCCAACTATATGTCCAATTTCCTCAAAAGTGACTATGTACCCACCACCCTTCCAGGCAGTGCATTTCAACTCATCACTAATTCTCATCATCCTTCTGATCTTTTACCAATTTCTATCTGCACTGTTCTCCTCATTCATTTTCCTCAAATGCATAACTGTGCATTAACTTTCATCTGTCACGTGTCTTTTGACTTCATCAGTCTACATCATCCCAAAACCTGCTACTTGTATTGTCTACAAACTTTGAAACACTGTTCCTCTCTTCCCAAGTCCTGGTCATCAATGCTGAGGCAACAAACAGGCATGCAAATGGGTTAGATTCAGCATGTAGAGCAAAACTGAAACTTCCTTCACCCAAATGCTCAACATTGAATTAACACGCTTCACTTATTCAATTCAGCCCCATTACTCTGTGCACTTGTCCAATCAGATTGAGCTCGCCCAAGACTCTGCTGCACACATCTAACCTCGCACCAAATTCCATTCCCCCTTCACTCCCTCTACCCGCTAACTGCATGACTTTAAAGATTCTCTGTTTTCAAACCATTTCAGTGACCTCGCCCCTGTACCAGTTCTTTAATCTGCCCCAGCCCTACAATCTTTGGAAATCTCCTCATTCATACAGTCAGAGTTGCACAGCATGGAAACAGGCCCTTCAGTCCAAATCCTCCATGCCAACCAGACATCCTAAATTAATCTAGTCCCATTTGCCAGCATTTGGCCCATATCCCCTTAAACCCTTCCTATTCAAATACCCATCCAGATGCCTTTTAAATGTTGTAATTGTACCCAACTCCATCACTTCCTCTGACAGCACATTCCATACACACACCACACTCTGCATGAAAAAGTTGTCCCTCAGGTCCTTTTTAAAATCTTTCCCCTCTCACCTTAAATCTATGGCCTCTAGTTTTGGACTCCCCTACCGTGGGGAAAAGACCTTGGCTATTCGTCCAAATCCAGGATCGCATTCATTCCCGACATTAACACTCCACCGTTGGTGGTGGTACTGTGAACCACTTCGGCCCTGACCTCTGGAGATATTATGCCTCTTTTGCCTCCTTCAGGACATTTCTTAAAACCTACTTCTAACCAAACCTTTGCTGACTTGTCCTAATATTCTCCCATCTGTCTCACTTTAAAATTGCTCATGAAACGCCTTGGATATTTTACTATGTAAAAAGGCGATACCTCTATTCAGGTGGTTGCTGTACCTGATTCAGTTGCTTCTGAAGTCCACTCAGTCTCTCCTGAAACAGCCTCTGATCTTGCTGATGCTTTTTCAACTTGCCTTTGAGGTCCTCATTTTCAATCTGAAGTTCCTAGACATATGATTATAAAAATAAATTAAATATTTTATTCTGAACTTTTCTTTTCTTAAAGCAAAAGAAGATTAGTTCTGAGGAAGGATCACTTGGCCCGAAACATTAACTCTGATCTCTCTCCACACATGCTGGCAGACATGCTCAGCTTTTCCAGCAATTTCTATTTTTGGCTCCGATTTACAGCATCCGCAGTTCTTTTGGTTTTCATTAAGAATAAAATTAGATCTCAAAACCTGCACCTATTGCCTGAAAAATGTGAAGTGGTTCAGTTTCACAACAGGAAATTATGTGATGTTAAATCCTGTCTCTCTGTCCAAGTGGATGTAGAAGATCCCAAAGCTTCAGCTCCTCAAAAGTAAATATTAGCAATGGGCAGCAACTGCTGGCCTTGCCACCGACGCTTAGCAATGGATGACACTAAGTAGATGAGATTTCCCTGTATTCACCCTTCAGTCAACATCAACAGCAATTTGATCACTAACTTGTTGCTATTTGTGGGAGCTTGCTGTATTCAAACCAGTCGTCACATTTCTTGCATTGGAATGGTGACTACATTTTTAAAAGTACAATTTTACAATCAATGTAGTAATGTTTGAACTGGGGACAACCAAACAGTAAACAAGCTCCCACAATACAATAACTAAATGATGACTAACATCTAAAAAGACTAACTGAACGATGAAACATTGTCGAGAGTACCAGGGAATAAGTTGCCATACCCCTTTCCAAAACAGTAGCTTTGGATCATTTACACTGCAGAGTGCAGATTGCACACAAGACTCATTTGAAAAACAGCACAGACAACTGTGCAGCACACCCTCAGCAAGACAGTGGGAGTGTCAGACTATATTGTACTTGTGTCTCTAGAATGGGTCAAGGAAACTGCAACTTTCTGGCTCAAAGATCAAAACATGTCAGGCATAATTCTCTTCAAAAACATACAACATGGGAAACAGGAATAAGAATTGAGTTTTCAATCATCAGATTCTAATTGGCTCTCCCTAAACCTACATTGTGACCTTTTGCAATTTTTAATTTCTTATAAACCCGAGGTACAATAACCAAGTTAGTACTTTTAAATCTGGATTAATGAACAAGTAATGCACAAGCTGCAAATAGAATTAATTTAGAAAAGTATATTTATACACTCGCACACAAAAACTAATCATAATTGCAACATATTTTATGTAAAAATACACCAGCCTCTGATAAAAGTTCTGGACATAGTCAAACCTCTGAAGGTGCTATTATTTTTACAAAGGCTTCTGCACAAGTATTACTTTTTAAAACTTTATGCTTTCCACCGATGCTGGCTGAATCTCTGCTCAAAATGTTTGTCATGTACACTAAGCCTTAGAAATAGTCACAGGGGCTAAAAGAAACCGTACAAATGTAAACTAGCATGGGCAAAGGATTAAGATTCAGAACTAAACTAAGATTTGGCTTTGTCAGAATTCTCATTCCCAGTGAATGATTTGCATAATACATAACCATCCTCCTTAGAGCAGAGAATGGTCAATAGGGGTTTGAGAGAGGTGCCCAAAATCGAAGGGAGTGTTGATTGAGGTAAGATGGGGAGAAACTTATTCCCGTGGCAAAAATTTCAGAACTAGTGAACTCGGATAGAATGCAAAAGGCATCAGGGAGCTAAAAGGGAGGTGGAGTGATTTCTTAATAGTGAGTTGTTGTGATCTGGGACTCGGAAGAAGATTCAATAGCAACTTTCAAAATGGATTTGAATAATTTGAAGGATGACGGTTACGTTATGGGGAAAGAACAGGGAAGTAGGACTCTCAAACTGCTGAGACAAACAGCTAGCAATGAAATATTGGGCTGAATGGCTTCTTTCTGTTCTCGATCATTCTCATTCTATCCTTGTCAACTCAGCAGTCAGTCATTATTTGAAAATCCACCCTTCCCCAGTGTTATTGTCAAGATAAATATTCTCAATCATAATTCAAATGCAGCGAGGTCTACATGTCAAGTGTTGCAGCAAGCATTTGGGATTTTCCACCGTTATCACACTACATCCGTACTCTCTTTAGACATTAACCGTGACTCAGCTGGTAACACGCCTACATCAGTCAGAGAGTTGACTTCAAACCTCATCATTGGGACCTAAGCACAAAATCCAAAGTCGAGACATCAGCGCATGTTTCACATGAGCCTTTCAGACTTAGGCCCTGTCTACTCTCTCATGTGGGTAACTAAAAAGATGTCATTACATTCTGCTAAAGCATAGACTTGTGTTGTTTCGTTTTATGTTCACTCTCTTTCTCTCTCCAAAGACGCTGCCTGACCTGAGTATTTCTAGCACGGTTTTAATTTCAGATTTACAACATCTGCAGCATTTTGTTTCTCATGTGGTTTTACAAATTTCAACATTTTTGTTCATTTCTGATAAACATCCAAGGGCTGTAATAAACCAAGTAATTCTGAGAGGCAAGAGATTAAAAATGAACAGTAGCTCTTTAGCGAGTGCACTACACTAATACCTTTACAACGCGTTGCTCCTTCTGACTCTGTGCTGTCTGTGTTTCAGTTTGAAAATGCCTTTGATCTATTTTCTGTGACAGTTCAGGACCCTGCATAGATACCAATGAAAAAATAACTTCATGTTTAAGGGATAAAACAAAATCCACCTTGATTAAACACTAAATTTTCTAATCACAGGCCACACAAGTTTCAAACCAGTTTGCAGTGATTTATCAACACTGAAAAACGAAGGAGCCTAGCACCAGGGACAGTCAGATGGCATTTAATGTGGTCTTTCCCCAGCTTCATCCTTACAGCTTTGCAAACAGGAAAGCAGTAGGATTAGATACTTTAATATTTATGATGTGGTTGCATGGAAACCACCATAAGTAAAATGGATTATCTGCTAAGGATAACTTTGTCCATAGGTATCTTTTCATTAATGCAGACACATATTTCATCGAGTACGCTCAAAGCTTTGGCAAATATCTGTAGCTCGGGTTGTGGGTGAGGTTGTTGACTTGCTCGCCGAGCTGGCTTGTTTTTGTTCAGGTATTTCGTCACCATGCTAGGTAACATCATCAGTGGAGCCTCTGATGAAGCGATGTTATTCTACTCCACTTGGAACTGATACGGTCTGGTCCGTTATGATGAGTACTGTCATTTCCGGTTTTCATCTCTATGGGTTTGTATATGGGGTCCAATTCTATATGTTTGATTGAAGTAGGAGTGGAGAACCATGCCCCTAGGAATTCCAATGCGAGTCCATGTTTGGCTTGGGCTACTATGGTTACTTTGTCCCAGTTAAACTGATGGCCTTCATTGTCTGAATGTACAGATATTAAGGAGAGTTCATCGTGCCGTTTTGCTGCTAGCTGATGTTCATGTATTTCAATGGCTAGTTTCCTTCCTGTCTGTCCCATGTAATGTTTGTGGCAGTCATTGCATGGTATTTTGTAAACCACGTTGGTTCTGCATGCTGTGGGAATGGGGTCTTTAATCCTTGTAAGCGTCTGTCGTGGAGTGGCTGTGGGCTTGTGGGCCACCATGATTCCTAGTGGTCTTAGGAGTCTTCTTGTCAGTTCCAATATGTTCTTGATGTAGGGCAGTGTGGCCAGTATGTTAGGGTGTACTGTGTCCTCCTCCTCTTATAAGGAAGAGCATTTATACAAAATCCTCGCCTTAAACAGATATCCCCACAACTTCATCCACAGATGCCTACATAACAGACAACTGGGATAAAGTAACCACAGTAGCCCAAGCCAAACACAGACTTGCAAGGGAATTCCTAGAGGCATGGTTCTCCACCCATACTTCAATCAAACATATCAAACATATAGAATTGGACCCCACATACAAACCCATACAGATTAAAACCAGAAGTGACAGTACTCACCATAACAGACCGGACAGTACAAATTCCAAGCAGAGTAGAATAACATTGCTTCATCGGAAGCTCCACTGATGATGTCACCTAGCATGGTAAATGAAACATTTGAACAAAAACAAGCCAGGGCTCGGCAAGCAAGTCAATAACCTCATCGAGTATGCTCTTCAACAGTTTCTCGAGTTAAAAGATTTCCATTTTGACATAATACTTGATATCTGGAGGTCAGAGGTTTCCAAAGTGGATGTGGAGGGAGGGAGGGCATGGAGTGTTTTTATTAGGAGGGGCAATGGTACCAACAGGATATCAGAGTTAAAATGTTTCTGAAACCATTTAGGATTGGTATCCCCATGAACTAATGGCATTGAAAACTCTGAATGTTAGATTTCTGTTGGTTTATGAATGCAGTCTTCCCATTTAAAATATAATCATGTCAGTGTTGATGGAGTTCTTTTCGGAAATCTGAAACACAAACACGCATAACTTAGGAAAAGCCACTTTCTGAACCTGTCCATACCTTGTAGGGAGTCCATGCATGTGTGTTTCGAAACTTGTAACGCAGACTGCCACTTTTCTACATTTGCCATTTGATGAGATCAGGCACTCTGAAAACAGGAGCAGGAATAGGCCATTCCACCCTTCCATAAGAAATAGTTATAGGAGTAGGCTGCTCCGCCATTCCAGCATCATGGCTGACCCGGAATTCCTCACATCCCACTTTCCTGGATTTTCCCTCCAAGCCTGCGCTGCCATTAATGATCATTGGCTCATCAAGGAATTCAATAACCTGTTCCTGCTTTCCCCCTCAACACCCATATCCTTTGATCCCTTTAGACCCAAGTGCTATACCCAATGTTCTGGCCTCGATTGTTGCCTGTGGTAGTGAATTCCACAGGCACACCACTCAGGGGGCTTGGTATAGAAAATCTTGCTCCCTAAATCACAGTCAAAACCAAAAAAAAATTCACCACGTCTGCTCAAGTACTGTGTGGAGATACCTATGCATTCATCCTTGACTTCAGCTTCATAGAGATTTGATTTGTATGTACATACCTTTCTCTTCTCCCATCATCACTGTTATATTTCAGTCAGTTAGAACTGAAAACCATCTGGCAGTCAATGCAGTCAGTAAACAAGGAAATGAGATGTTGAGAGTTAGAATCACAGACAGATGAGAGAGTCTAATAAGGCCAGAGAAGTAAAAAATCATTTCTAATAGCCAATTTTTGCTTAGGAGCAAATTCCAATCAGTAGAAGATTTGCCCTTAAAAGTTATTTCTTTCACAATGTTTGCAAACGAACCACATATTCTAGATGAAGAAATCCATCTGCATAAACACTATACATTTTCAAGTTTATATTTAGATGAATATTGAGTTGATGTAGACGATCAGCCATGATCCAGATTGGTGGAACAGACTCAAGTTTCTGAATAGCCTACTCCTGCTCCTGTGGTCCCATATGGTAAACAGTTGAAAAGAGCCACATACCTGATCAAATAGTTCACCATCCTCCTTCTTAGTAGTCAAGAACTAGTGGACATGCACTCAAATCTTAATTTTAACCTTACCAACAAATTGGATAGGTGTGGACAGAAGTTGGGGGGAGGAACATAATGGAAGAAAGGAATCTATCACCATAAAGGTGTGCTTCTGATCTTGTTCTGTCACAATGGGACTGCACACATGGTTTTTACAACGTCTTTTAAAGAATAGGATTTCTGTTTTCCCAAAAATTCACAAAAGTGTCTTCAGAAAACAGATGTTGGGCTACAGGGGGTCAGAAGGCAGGCTTTGGTGATGCAGCTGGGTTTCACAGAGGACCCTTGAAGGGGAGTGAAGATAAAGAGGCCGAGGAGTTTGGGGCAAGATTGGCGGAATGTAGGGTTGAGGGGCAGAAGGCTCAATCACCAAACAGCAGAGAGGCCTGAGGACACTCAAAAGTGGGGGCGGGGGGGGGGGGGGGGGGGGGGGGGGTGAGGAATCGGAAATTTCAGCAGGATAAGCCAAGGTTTACCACGTAGAGTTGAGCAAACACACACACACAGAAACGCACACACACAGTTGAGCAAAACTGCACCAAGACACAATCTCACAGCACTGAAACATATTACTAAATCTGTGGCTCTGCAATATTAGAGTAAGCAGAATTAATCCAAACAAACAAAAATGATAGAATCAGAAAGTCTTACCTGAGACACCTGTTGTGATTTCACGCTCGGTTCCCTTGCTGAGGGGGTTTAAAAAAAGAGGGCTTAAGTTTGAACATATTACAACATTCCTCAATTCTTTGCTCGAGTTATCCTCAAACCCACAAAATGTTTGAAAGGAGACAGAATGCAAGGAAAAAGGACATGTGAAACGTAGAAAAGTGTTTTAGTAGCAGTGTACGTAGATTGGGGTGAAGCAGGGAGAAAGAGTAAAAGACACTGTAAACAGTAATCTTATCCCAAATGCCAGATTCAAGATGGTTCTTTCATTTGTGTTTCAACTAAAAATTTTTAATGATCTCAAAAGAAACCAAATAGAAGAAGGTGATATTAAGCTCAGAAAAGATTTACCAGGATGCTGCCGGGTTTCAGTTACAAGGAGAGGGTGGGACTTTTCTCACTGGAGCGTAGGTGGTTGGGAACTGACCTTATGGAGGTTTAAGAAATCATGAGGGGCATAAACACGGTGAATGGCAGGTGTCTCTTCCCTAGGATGGGGGATTTCAAGGCTACAGGCCATATTTCTAACACAAAAGGAGAAAGATTTAAAAAGGGACATGAGGGGCAATTTTTTTGTTTTAAAAGAAACACTGTGGATCATGTGTGGAATGAACTCTCAGAGAAAGTGGTGGATGCTGGTACAGTTACAACGTTTAAAAGACATCTGGATAAGTTAATGAATAGGAAATGTTTGGAGGATTATGGGCCAAGCGCAGGCAGGTGGGACTAATTTAGTTTGGGATTATGGTCAGCTTGGACTGGTTGGACCCAAGGGTCAGTTTCCGTGCCGTATGACTATTTGAAAACAAAATCTCTCCTCTCCACTCCACTCACTCATCTGGGAGTTGCAGCAAAAAAAAAAACAGAAAAATGTTTATGCAGAGTCGCGTCATGATTTGGAAAGCATTGGCTTTAAAGGACTGTACAAGCAGAAACAACCGTCGCTCTCAAAATTAGACAGACACTTAAAGAGCAACATTTACATTGCGTTGGGGAAGGAGCAGGGGCAGGGGGTGGAGATCTAATTGACTGGCCTTTTTAAACAGCCAGCACAACCGCTGACAGGAGGTTGGCCTTGTACGGCTCTCTATGATCTTAGGCATTAGGATTCTGGGGGGCTAGGGCCACAAAAACTGCACTACAAGTGTCCCCAGATAGTCTGAATGACAAACTACTAGCACAGCACCTGGAATTCACAGAATTGCTGATAAGCACAAAACATTGCAGCAAGATCATCACTTAACATTAAAATAATCAGAATGTTGTTTGGCAAGGGGTCTATTTGAAACAGAAAAGGCTGGAAAAATACAATGCATCATCCAGTATCCACGGGGACAAGAGACAATTGATTCTTTCGGGATCATACCCTTACTTCAGGCTTTTGAAGGTTTTGGCCAAGCCCAAATACAGTGTAATTACCAGTCCCCCACCTTGAGTATATTCACTCTAGCCCAACTTGCTGAGCTTTCACAGTGAACAGTATTACCATAACAGGTTACAGCAAAGAAATAACATCCACAGATCACAAAGCAAACAGATGCATGAAGCCCTAAAGTTTCCATTTTCCGACTGTCATCCAGACAATATACAGATTGTACAAAGTATGGAAAACCTAACAGACACCTCTCTCAGTTGTGATAATACAACAGACAACATCATTTGTCTGACAAAAGTGGTTATCCATGATTCTTTTTTGAGGTTATGTCCCCAAATTTAACATTGAAAAAAAGAGATAATCTCAGCATGCAATCTTCATTTATTCAACAAAAACAAAAATTCTGACCAAAGTCCTGCAGTAAACAGCAATATGCATTCGATCTGGTTCCTTCATTTAAGTCATTAATAAACATTGTAAATAATCAAGGCCCCTGCACTAAATCCCCTCTGGAATCCCATTAGTTACAGTTTACCAACTCAAAAATGATCCATTTGACCCACTTTATACACATTTAACAAAAGATAAATTAACAACACATCAAATTCTTAGACACTGTCCCTTGATAGGCCGAAGTATAAGAACAGCTGACACCAAATCGTATTTACATAGCACTTTTAATGCAGTAAAATGTCCAATGATGTAATAACAAGATGTAACACCAAGTCACAAAAGAATATATTAGAACTTAAAGATTGGTCAAAGATGTGGACTTTCAGGAGAGAAAAACAGAAATTTAAGGAGCGAGATCCAAAGCTTAAAGTTTTGGTACTTAAAAAGGTATGGGCACCAGTAAGGAGTGCTTGAAATCTAAGACGTGCAAGGGACCAGAATGTGAGATGTACAATTATCTCAGAAAGCCGTGCAGCTGATGAAGATTACAGAGATAGGGACAAGTGAGCCCATGGAGGGATTTGAAAACAAAGATGTGAATTTAAAGAAAGACATGACATGATATGACAGAAGGGGAGCCAATGAGGGTCAGCAAACTCAGGAATGATGGAGAAGTACAGAAGGCAGACTTCTGGCAGGCACAGTTGTGGGAGAGAAACATACTGGAATGAAATAGGCATCTACATTAAGCAGAAGTGGAACAGGTCCTTTCCCAACATCCCTGCTAGGAAACAAGGTGAAAATCTTATTTCCATGAAAGTTGTGTTAATGATCTAAGCATAATGATCAAAAAGTGCTTGATGGAGTGACAGACAGTAATTTCCAATTTGATAACCAAGGGACTTTTCACTCATTTCAAACATTTTTTTCAGTGCAATTTTGAACTTGCAACGTTTCTGTTCAATAGATTAATTTACACAACAGATGCCCCTTTAGGGTTCTGATCAAGGTAAACATTCCAGAGCAATACCAAGGGAATATTGCACAGACATCAGCACTGTTGTTTGAAGCAAGACAGTAAAGAGGGTCTGTCCACACTTTTGAACAAACATAAAAGATCCCAAGGCAGTATTCAGAAGGGGAGCAGGGGAGTGTTCTGGTTAATATTCAACCCACCACCAACATCATGGAAATAATCAGATTATCCTGTCATTATCACATTGCTCACAGCAGTCTCAAAAGTAACAAACCGGTTTTGACATTCCTCCATAGCACTAGGCTTCAAAAAGTACTTAATTAGTTGCAGAGAGAGAGAAATCTGGGACATCTGGAGTTCAAGAAAGGTACTATCTCATGACAGCTCTTTCACTTTATGATCGTAGTTTCTGAAGTGCAGTCAATCTATTATTGATTGAAAAGCTCTTCAGCACGTACAGAGATTTGATGAGGTTTCATTGTACATAAATCAAAGTTCTTATTTTGACAGCGCAATCCCCAACATGTCACATTAAATTGTTGCATAACTAGTTGAATCGTGGGACTAAACTGCTCATTCACCCAGAGTTCTGAAATTTAATTCATATGAACGCACAGAACACACCATAGCTGACCATGTAATTGCACTTTGCAGTAAAGCTTCAGTAATCCAGCCTCAAATCAGGAGATGGCACTAAAGAGTTATCTGGAAAGCTCTCCGAAAAAGAAATCGGCTTCGCACAATCTCATCTCTTTCTCCAATTATTTTTCTCTTGTCCACAAAACAATTTTAACTCCTTGACAACACCCGCGACCACTGATTTCAGCAGTCTTCACACAGTTGCCTACGTGTAGCAGCCTGCACCAAAGCAGTAAGGATGGACACTCAAAAGCAAAGTCACATTCTGAAAATATTATTTCGACAATTGGGAATTTTAATCGTGGGTCCAATAATGCTCCAGGTGTCAACTGTGATTGGACACAGACCTGGAGTTTCCAACACATACCCTCCAACCTCCAGTTGTCTCCAGTTATGTAGCTTTTATATTACCCTGCCACCACTATAATCCGATATGTTTTATAACTAATCAAAAATGGTCAAGGAAAATTTAAATAAAATCAAAACATGATTTTGAGGTTTTGTTTTGCCACAGCCCTGCCTTAGAGAACAGAATCAGAAACCCTACATGCGACATACACACAGTCTCAAATCCAACCGGCAACTCAGTAAGTGCCTTTAATTTTAATAGTTCATACGCTTCACGGGCAGTGAACTTACTGCAAAGGAGCCTCCACGATTTTCATTTGGATCTTTCAGTTTTTATTTAGATTTTAAAGGTCGTTGAGAAGTTGAAGCTTTGCAAATGTCATAACTTTCCTTGGTATTTTAACAATGTACACAGTCATACAGCACCATTAACAGAGTAAAATGGCCCAACTTGCTTCACAGGACCATTATCAAACAAAATGGGACTCCTGGCCACAGAAGGTTGTATTAAGGCAAGCTCAAAATGAAAGAGGTAGGTTTAAAAATTAGTGCAAAAATTAGGGAGGTCCTATTTAGGACCAAGATGAGGAGGTAGTTTTTCCTCAGAGGATCAGCCTGTGGAATTCTCTTCCATAGACACCAGTACAGGTTGTGTCACACAATACATCCAAGGTGGAGTTAGACAGATTTTGATCACAAGGGAGTCAGGGGAAGACAGGAAATTGGAGAGAAGGTCACAAATCAGATCTGCCATTATCTTACAAAATGGTGGAGCAGGCTGAGGGTCCAAATGGCCTACACTGTTCCTAATTCTTGTACTTTGTGTTTAAAGACCATCAAGGGGCCCTCTTGTGGTTCTATGGTAGTGTCCCTACCTATGGACCAGGAGGCTTGGGTCCAAGACCCGCCTACTCCAGAGATGTGGAATTACATCTCTGAACAGGTTGGAAATAGTTCAAGGAGCATCATGTAGGAGGAGAGTGTGTGACAGGTGACGATGTTTATGGATGGAATCCAAAATCTTACCACCCAGGAAGCTGAAAGCACAGTCACCACTGGTGGACTGACTGAATTAGGGAATTGGAAGAGTGCATTGCAGTCATTTGAAAGTTATAGGGCCTAAGCGACTCAAAGTGAAAGTAAATGGGGATCAGCTGTGCTTGCTCGGGGAGTACAAGCAAAAAACAAATATTTGGGAATGGAGTTCAAATTAGCACGAACTATACTTTCCTCACGCCCCACAAGTGCCGAAAATTCAAATAAATCCATTCCACATGTTCTGTTTTTCT